GAATGGTGTGGCGATCGCCGAACCGGTGCTCAAGAGTTGGCTCGCAATCCAGTCGTTTAGCTTCAGAGCGGATGACCTGTTGGTGACGGCGTTCCCGAAGTCAGGCATAACATGGCTTCAGGAGATTAATTTTCTTACAAATTTTGCACAATTTCTATAATCCTTATAAAACGTCAAAATTTTTATTTTAAATTTTGTAAATTAATTTAATTTGTATACATTTTTTGCTAATTCAATTAAGATTTTTTAAAACTTTTACTTAATTATATTTAGCTGAATTAATTATTTACCATGTTTACTTTGAGATTAATTAAAACTTGTATTTAAATAGAACATATTAAATAAAATAATGAAAAAATAAAACAATTAAAATGATCACATATTTCCACATTTAGTATACAATTCATTCACAGAATCAATGAAAGTATTTTAAACTTTTTCATTACCCAAACCAATGCTGTTTTGAATTAATTTGATGGCAAAGTTTTTATAGTAATCAACGCTTTTAGTTATCTAACAGTAATACTAAAACTCGCAAAATATAACATTGTATGCATTGACAGACATTTATTATATATATATTTAATTAAATTTAAATGTAAACTCTTTACACGTAATGCTAATGAAATGTATAAATAATTAATAAAATAGTTATTTCAAGGGAATCGTCACATCATATATCATATCATAGCGACTGAATGCGAAAAATTTATATGAATTTTTATGTATAAAATTGTTTACAATATTTCCGTACAATTGGGTAACACTTAAGATATATTCAATTCAATAGACGAGTAAACAGTTTTATTCACTTATTATTACAGTATATTTCTTATCGAAATAGTATTCAAACAGTTCTTCGTGTTGAATGAGTTTCCGGTGATAGTGTTGTGGCACTCATTATCACATATAAAATACATTTATTTTCTACAATTATATCACACGTTATAAAGTCTATAACTTTAGGCCAAATTTGTTTGTGTATATAATCTGTATATAATTTTTCATTTGTTTATTGAATTATTGAATATATTTTTCTTTTAATGTGAAGTCTAAAGAAATCACTTCTTATGAGAGCCAAAGTAGTGCTCAACTGATTGAATATAGAGATTACCATTTTATCATTTATATAATATTTCAATTTTTCCAAACACTTTATTTACAAAAATATAGACTAAATATACTGTATATAGTTTTGTGCGATAAGAGTGTATAAGAGTTTGTTGAAAATACTAAAGTTTTTATAAGGGGTTTGTGTTGTAAACCCTAGTTCTCAATATTACATGTGACTTAAAAAACATGAATTCAATTGCTATTTATCCGCGAATCGTTTGTTTGGCATTAATTTACTGTATATATTGTTGTATTCAAACCCTGGGCTCCAATATTGACACAGAATTTCCACTGATTTTTAAACCAACGTTTGGTCAAAATGACGAAAATTATTTCGGACTTACAGTTGAAATGCAAAGTATCCGCAATAAGACCAAGTAAGCCATTGCGCTCTCTCTCTCTCTCTCTCTCTCTCTCTCTCTCTCTCTCTCTCTCTCTCTCTCTCTCTCTCTCTCTCTTACACAAAACCGGGTCATTNAATTCATGTTTTTTAAGTCACATGTAATATTGAGAACTAGGGTTTACAACACAAACCCCTTATAAAAACTTTAGTATTTTCAACAATCTCTTACACAAAACCGGGTCATTCACATCCATTTCTCTGTTAACTAAGACTTTCTCTTATTCTCAAACTTTATTGATTTCAATGTCAAAATATATTATGAAATTTATGTGTAATATTTTTGCTTTAATTACTGACAAAGCTTTATAATCGGTGCCCCGAAAACACAGTCTACACTATATAATGCCAAACACACGGGAACTGTATTCAAGTGTTGGATTCAATATAATTTAAGCACAATTTGCGATGAAATAAATCTCGATTTTCGTAAGTTATTTGATGTTTGAGTAAAATAATAGTGCATTTCGTGTTAATTAACTTTTCTTTTGCAAACTCATCGAAAAATATGTGAATTATTTGAAATATTAAATTAAATGACATTTGAGACGAGTATTCTAAAAATATCGCTAAATTCTTATAAATAATAAGTTATGATAACTCAATGTATTAAATATGAAACATTAAGGTCGTATCGCCGCTTCAAACCGCCGCTCCTCACCACTGACTGCCGACCAGATGGCAAGGGATGACATGTTTTTGGGCGGCACAGTAGTGGCCGACCCTAAGAGTAGTCGAGTGGCCGTTTGCGGACACAAGTGGTGGCAAGAATTGCATGCGAATCGACCGCAACACCAACGGAATCCATCGGGAAGTTGTTTTATAGTGGATTTGGAAAAACCAAATGACACTCCGTTTGGTATATTCCCATTGCGTGATCCGAGTCTGTATTCATTGCACATATTATTCATTGAATTTATGTTTAAATTTATAAACTAATCGTTGATATCATAGAATAGACCTACAAATCCAACACAACACGTATTACTACAGTCATTCAATGAGTGGTTTCTCGGCCGCATTCACACATGTCTGTTGTTATACAACTCATTTATAACATATACAATAATTCAAATACTATACACAGAATAGTGATAGTCTATTGATGGGATCACCTGGATTTTATCAATGGCGGGGAACACTTCTCGAAACAGAACCCATTAATATGGGTGTCAATGGATTACTTAAAGAAAAGGCTATTTTTCACCAACGCTTGACAGCCAGCGGTAAATTTTTTGATAAATAAAATTTATTTCTTTAAATTTTAATACGAATTAAATGATTAAACATGGTAACAGAAGCATATGTGGGCTATTCATTAGCATCTGGCCACTTTTTATCAGGAAGTCAATATTCGTTAGCTATAGGCGCGCCCCGAGACGCGAATTTCAAAGGGAAAGTCAGTTATGATTGTTATAATAGTGTTTATATTTTGTGAGTTTACGGTTAGTTTCAAATTGCCTTAAATTGATTTTAGGTGTATATCTATAACATGTGGTCAAATCACTTCTTTGATGATATCGGAGGCACACAAATGGGAGAATACTTTGGCTATAGTTTGCTATCAGTTAACGTAAATAACGATGAATTCAGTGATCTTATAGTCGGCGCCCCTTTCTATTCAAATAAGTATTCATACGATTGCGGACGCGTTTACGTCTATTTAAGCTCAGGAAACGTGAGTTTATATGATTGATGTTCATATTATTGACGAAACCAATCGAAATATAAATTTTGTCTAACAGTTGTTATCTTTCATTATAATTATTAATAGGGTTTTGATAAATTAAAACCGCAAATATTGAGTGGATCCGATACAAGTGGTTCCCGATTTGGGACATCGATTGCCAATTTGGGTGATATTAACTTTGATGGATATAATGGTTGTATTTGTAATTGCATTTTAAGTATAGAATAAAGCTTATTATTTATGTTATATTTATAGAAATAGCTGTGGGTGCACCTTATGAAGATGACCATGGTGCTGTTTATGTTTATTCTGGTAGCAAATACGGTCTATTACCTAAATATTTACAGGTATTAGCACTAAATTAAATTCATAATTATTTATACTAAATTTATATACTTTTAAAACTTAAATCAGAGAATTTCAGCGAATGAACACTTAAATCAGTTTAATTTAATGGGTTTTGGTATTAGTATTGCGGGGAAGAGAGACGTCGATAATAATCATTACAACGATTTATTAATTGGATCCTATTTGACAAATAAAGCTGTTTTGTTGAGGTGTTGTCATTGAAAATGTGAGAAATATATTTCAATTTATACTCAAATTTTTTGAATTTTACGCAAAACAAATTTTAAGGACAAAACCAATAGTGAATATAATGGCAGAGATTCGGCTCAACGCCAGTCATATCAATGTAAACGAAAGAAATTGTCTGTATTTGGATCCCATATCTGGAATGGGAAGACATAGACCGTGTGTTGGGGCCAAGTATTGCATACAATACGAGGGCACTCACGTCCCCTCCTCTTTGAATCTCAATATAAGTATACAGTTAGACAGTCGACGACCTGAGAGTACCCGATGTTTTACGGTCTATAAAAATCAGATCAAGTTTGCGATTACAAAAATACTGACTATCAGTGCTTATTCAACGGAGAGTTGTTCCGATGAATTCACTGTCTATCTAAAAGTGAGTATTAATCTTAAACACAAAGTTTATATTTAAAGTTTTAGATTAATTTACCATTAAATAATAGGAAAGGGCTGCTGTCGATGACATTTTCACGCCAATACAATTGTCTCTCAGCTATTCTCTCATTCAATTGCAAACAAAGGGCACATTTTGTCCCAAATGTCCCATCATTAAAGACACTAAACTCATCACAAATCAAGTATTTAATAAATTATTGACTGAATTTGTTTTTGGTTCTAATATAATATTTTTATTATTAGATACACTTTCAAACTGGTTGTAGAATTGACGAGAAATGTGTTTCTAAATTACAAATCTCGACCAAAACTTTGTTAAATAGTATACTTTCAATGAAAACCGATCCGATTCTTGAAGGATATCACAAAAGTCTGACTTTAGTAACAAATGTTGACAATAGCGGCGAACCCTCTTATTTGACCAAATTATTGATTAACACAAATCCAAAGCTACAGCTCATCAAACAGGACAGTAGGTGTCGATTACCTAATTATAACACTAATAACCAGACGGACGGCTATTTACTGGAATGTGATGTCGGAAATCCATTGAAATCCCATAAACAGCAAGAAATTTCTATACCATTAGATATTTCTAAATTAGATTTAGATATCAACGAAATTGAAGTCACAATAGAGTTGAAGAGTGCGAGTGAAGTGACTAATGGGGCCAAGTATTGCATACAATACGAGGGCACTCACGTCCCCTCCTCTTTGAATCTCAATATAAGTATACAGTTAGACAGTCGACGACCTGAGAGTACCCGATGTTTTACGGTCTATAAAAATCAGGTCAAGTTTGCGATTACAAAAATACTGACCATCAGTGCCTATTCGACGGAAAGTTGTTCCGATGAATTCACTGTCTATTTAAAAGTGAGTATTAATCTTAAAAACAAAGTTTATATTTAAAGTTTTAGATTAATTTACCATTAACTAATAGGATAGGTCTCTAGTCGATGACATTTTCACGCCTATACAGTTGTCTCTCAGCTATTCTCTCATTCAATTGCAAACAAAGGGCACATTTTGTCCCAAATGTCCGATCATTAAAGACACTAAACTCATCACAAATCAAGTATTTAATAAATTATTGACTAAATTTGTTTTTAAAAATATTTTTATTATTAGATACACTTTCAAACTGGTTGTAGAATTGACGAGAAATGTGTTTCTAAATTACAAATATCGACCAAAACTTTGTTAAATAGTGTACTTTCAATGAAAACCGATCCGATTCTTGAAGGATATCACAAAAGTCTGACTTTAGTAACAAATGTTGACAATAGCGGCGAACCCTCTTATTTGACCAAATTATTGATTACCACAAATCCAAAGCTACAACTTATCAAACAAGACAGTAGGTGTCGATTACCTAATTATAACACTAATAACCAGACGGACGGCTATTTACTGGAATGTGAAGTCGGAAATCCATTGAAATCCCATAAACAGCAAGAAATTTCTATACCATTAGATATTTCTAAATTAGATTTAGATATCAATGAAATTGAAGTCACAATAGAGTTGAAGAGTGCGAGTGAAGTGACTAAGTCGGAAATCCATTGAAATCCCATAAACAGCAAGAAATTTCTATACCATTAGATATTTCTAAATTAGATTTAGATATCAACGAAATTGAAGTCACAATAGAGTTGAAGAGTGCGAGTGAAGTGACTAAAGACAGCGTTTTGAACGAAACATTTACCATTCAAGTGGTTAGGAATGCGAGTCTATTAATGATTGGGTCAGTCGTTGTCTGAATTATATGTCAAAACTATTTTAATACATGTTTAAAATATATTTGACTATATGTTTGAATAGACATCCATTAGAATCGGAGTTAATATACGAGAAAGAAAGCAAACGAAAACAGGATTTCATTCAATTCTCGGCAGCTTTTCAACTAATCAAACAGCATTGGAGTTCTGTCGGCAATGTGTTTATCGAAATCAATTTTCCCGGACTTTTCAATAAACAGCCGTTTCTTTATCGACCCGTTGTGGAGGTCTGTAACATATTATTTCCGAGATATCTGTTATAATAAAATGATAACAATTTTACTAAAATGACAGTTAAGTGGAGGCGTGTCCGTCAACTGCAACCGAACTGTCTTAGAGTTACCGATGATTCCGATGACCAGAAACGCTGACAAAAGCACAGATATTGATAGTCAACGTAACCGTCGAGATAATAGCGGCCAAAAGCAAATATCTACCGATAAAAGAACTTTACAATTGGTATATAAATACACATAAACTTAACATTTGAGACAATAATCCAATACAATGTGAATAGGAATGCAATTCGAGGATAGAGTGCGTGAAGATGGAGTGTTTTGCCGGTCCTTTCACTTCAGACAAACAAATGGCCAAATTTTTTGTTCATTCGGCGCTCAATATAAAAACAATTGAATCCATTTTTGGTAAAAAATACGATACAATCAAACTTCGGGTTCAATCGAAAGCTATTATTTCCGATTCAAGAATTGTATCAAAAGTGGAACAGATTTCGACGGATTTCGTGTTCAAACGGATCGACTTAAAGCCAGAACCGATTGCGAAATGGATTATATTTGTGAGCATTGCTGTCGGACTCGTTATATTGGCTATCATTACAATAATACTACTAAAAGTACGGTATTGTTAGTCGTTTAATACAAATAATAACAATTAAATATTCAATTAAAAGTTTGGATTCTTTCGGCGAACGAAACCACAAACTGAAGACACGAACGAATGGGTGACACCTAATAGTGATGACCAACAAATTGAGAGAAATTCATTGCTTGAAGTGCAAGAACTCAATGATAACGACTTTGGGGACCAAATACAACACATCAATAGTAGTAATCAAACAAATGGATTAAAATCATAACAATTAAACAAAATAAAAACGTAAAAATTGACAAAAAAAATCGCGTTTATTATTACATTTGAAAATAAGTATTTCAAAACTCATTCAAATAATTAGTACAATTTTGGCTAATATTAGGAGACATTTATAAACGAAATTCAATAATACAATCAAAATAGATAAAAAAAATCGCGTTTATTATTACATTTGAAAATAAGTATTTCAAAACTCATTCAAATAATTAGTACAATTTTGGCTAATATTAGGAGACATTTATAAACGAAATTCAATAATACAATCAAAATAGATAGCGAATAGTGTACAGGATTTGGAAATTTATGGTCCCTTTGCTGTCAAGGATTGGAATTCGTATCTAAACCTATGGTTCGGATTTAAGTCTGGAATTATAATTAAATAAAAAGTCAGCTTTTGGTACAAAATTCATGATTGACTAGTGATGTGATCGCATATGAAGTGAGATTTGAATGAATTCAAAAAATTGCTTTTCGTTTAAGACAACAAAAAAACTCAAAATAAAAAACTCGTAATAATTCAAAAACAAAGTCTACAAAAATAAAGGCAATTAAGAAAAACAAATATAAATATGGGATTCGAGTAAAAAGTAAAGATAAAATTGTATGTTTAAAAAGGAGTTTCTCGTAAAGCTTTTCATAAAACAATTAAAATTATAAATTAATACAAAATAGTTGCTCAGAATTATTAATTGCAAACACTTTGGTGTAGAGATTGGTTTATAGATTCGTGAAATAGAGACAGTTTTAGTTTTGATTTGTAAGGAGTGTATAATACGGATAAAAATAAAATACAAGAGTGAAGAGTGAAGGCACGACAGAGAACTGATTGTCTAAAACAGTATCGTATTATATATAAACTCATGTCATAAAAAGCTTATTATGTATAACAAAGGGGTCTGAGAGTTGGTCTCAATTCAAGAGACCTAAAAGATGTCACAAATAGTACATTAAAAGAGCGCAAAAAACCATTAAAAAAGATAACACATAATCTCTAGAGAGCTGTACATTAATATCAGGGATTTGTTTTGGGGTTTGTTTTGTATGGGTATTGAGAGCACAAATATATCACTGTTTTTAAGCAAACTTCGTTTTACATATGTATAGAAGCGGCCGTATATCGGGCCTCACTGCTGGCCCAACGCCATTGCGTCGGCCGGTAACGGATCAGCATCTGACCCGACGACGACTGCGGGTTCTTATAGGCGTAGAACACCCAAAGTGTAATCCCCGAGAAGAAGGCCAGGATTACCAGAACAGACACTAAGCCAGCGCTGGAACCGCTCGATGAAGCGGACGAGTCTGCGTCCTCGGCGCTGATATAGCCGGGAAGAGACTGAGGGTTTGGTTGGATATCACTGTGGTCTACAAAAATAAAACCATGGGTTTTAGAGCAACGGCACAGTCATTAAAATGTCATTAAACCAAACAAACAAACAAATTGTATGTTTAAACAGTGGAAATACCTGGAGATATGATGCTCTGTGTATTGAATGGGTGGGAAGTGTTGGGCGAAGCGGTTGTGCTAACATTGGTAGCGCACGAGACGGAGCCCTCTTTGATGGCTGTCTCGCAGTTTTTAATAATCCACTCCTGGCGTTGCCGGTCGTAGCCGTCGGAGCAACGGTTGACCGAATCACACCACCCGCAGTCAAACCCGATTTGCGCCGACAGACACTTATCACACGTTGGCAATGAAGCACAAGCTATTCATTCAATACAATTTGTTAATAAATTTGCAATCAATTATCAATTGTTTGTATCATTACTCGGCAATGCCTTGAAATAGATGGCCGTATCGTTACTGATGGCGTAATCTTTGAGATCTGCTCTGTGGTACTCATAGATCGTCTTTCGACGAATGACTATATAATTCATTCAACAAAATAACAATTAATTGTTAAATCATAAAACATAGCAAATAAACGCTAATAAAATGCTTACAAAATATAGTTCTGTCGATAATATAGGCGTCAGAAATGCCAACTTTGACGGGATGTTTGGAGTCGGGTATGTCTTTGATAGGGAAAGGCACTGATTTGTAGACAAATATAATGTCACCGCTCTTTAGAAGAATAATCTGAAAGGAGAAGTTGCCGTCTGGTGTCCGGTCGTGAAGCATAACGTCTTCCCATTGGATGACAAACGCCGTCTCGTTATACGCGTACTGTATTGTCGACGCGTTGCTAAGACTGGTGTCAAAGTTGGCCATCAGTGCGGCGATGTATTGAGTGGCTGCGAGCCAACTGTGCACGTGATCGCCCACATACAGGAAACCGCCGGTCGCTATCGTAATGTTGGTCATCGTTTGGCCATAGAATGGGAACTCAAACGGCAGCGAAACAGTGGCCGCGCGGCGGTGCGAATTGGACAGCATGTCATGCAATACCAACTGATGTCTCGGAAACGTCGATATATTGATCCATAAATTCTGGGCCATTCCAGACGATTCCGCGTAAAATTGGGAATTATAATACGTGTGATTCTCGTACTATAAGAAAGAGGGTTAAAATTGCATTATATTGAGTGAACTCGAGAACTCAGGCAATGTATTTTGTAAGGGACAGACCGTTTCGTTAGCTCCGGGCGGAAGTGTTGTCTCATTGTTTTCGACGTCCACATACGTGACCGTCATGTTAGCCAATAGTGGCGTCTCTTTGCCGCCGACGACAGCGCCGGCCGTCTTATTAGTGGTTGGTTTTGTCGATACATTTTTTTGTATTGAATCTAATTTAGCGCTAATTATAGGCTTCTTTGTGGGCGAAGTCTTCTTCAATTTAATGTCTAAATCATCTGAATTTCTCTTAACAATCGTATGATATTTGAGATTTTGGTTTAAATTGCTGTCAGAGAACTCCCAAAACTCCAATTCTAATGCAAGGATAGGGAAAAATCAATTCAATATTAATACACGAATACATTTTGTGAGAAAATCATTTATTATTCATTTTAGTGTCGATTTCCTTATTGTTTTGCGTATATTTTATATTTAGGCAAACATTTTCTGTCAAAACTGATTATCTGATTACATGTATATATGAAAGACAAACGGGAAAATATTTGCACAAATATGTTATGGAAATTACAGGTAAGTAAAGCATTGATAGCATAATTGACTCGTTTTGTGAGTCACAAAACAATAACCACAAGAAAAAACTGACTTTTTATTCAATGCAATAACTTATCCTTGAATTCAAATCGAGATTTATTAAGAAAAGTAACGAATAATAAGTAATAATAACAACAAACAAAAAGTTTGCAAAACAAATAAAATTTCTATTTAATATAATTTAATGACAGAGAGAGAGAGAGAGAGAGAGAGAGAGAGAGAGAGATTACGAAATGCCAAAATCTTATGAAAAGAAATGTACTTTTATTATGGATTCAAATGATAGGAAACGAGAGACTAAACAGAAAACATCCAAATTGTAAATGAGATAAACTTTAAACTTTTCTTAAACCCGAAACCTTAAGGAAAGAGTAAAAATAATAGATTGAAACCATAACTTATGTTTAGTTTTATAAATAATCATGTTTAAAACGTATAAAAATAGCTCATAAAATAACACAAAATTAATACTTTAAAGACATGAAACCAAACATTTGTTATAAGAGTTAATGGAAACAAGAAAAATATTTATACATTTAATTAATAATAATGTTTTAACTGTATATTAATATAAAAACAATATAAATAACAAAATTGATATGACATTTGAATGTAAAATATGTTTTCAGTGTTAATACCGTATAATAAATGCAAAAAATATCTAATTTATTATTGAAAAACATTTTTCTCTAATTCAATGATTTCACAATTTTGCACAAAATATCTCAAAATTAGAAACAAAACAATTTCTAAACGGTTTTCTTATCCCTTAAACAGGAGTAATGTTTATACAATACAAAGGAAATTACAATTAAATCATTGACTAAACAGCTTAAGTGTTCGTGAATTACAATTAATTGAAATCCGTTTTAAAAAATGCATTTCCTATTTGTGTTGCAAATGAAGTCAAACCTCAACTCTCAAGAAAAGGCAACTAAAAAAGTTTGTCTTAAACTTCAAAACAAACATTTTCTTCTGAAATGCATTTTATCTAAACTATTGACAAACAAAACCAAACAAAAAATAAACTAAAGTTTTATTAAACTCTTTTCGTAAGAAATCGTCGGAAAAACTCTTATATAAACATAAATTGTGTCAAAAATTGCATTCAACGTTAAATTGTATGGCAAATAATGGCTAAACATTAGTTAGTTTTTCATGACTTTTGAGAAACGATTTAAAAAACATTCACATTATATGAAGCGAAACAAAAATTCACATAAAAAGCATAATTTGCTTATAATATTGACAATACAATCGCATTCATAAAACCAAACACGAGTTATACAACAGAATTCAATACCAAATTTAACCCAAATTCTGCATTAAATATTATAAATCATATATCAATTTGCATTCATAATGACTATTCAAATCATTTGTACAAAAAATATTATTCATATACTTTTATAACTATAAATTTTTAACAAATTCTGCCAAACATTATATAAAAATTATCAAATATTTGATAAAATCATATCAAAAGTCCAATTTATTTGACAATTTATTGCATTTAAAACTTTACAAAAAAGTAACTGACATTTCAGGCGAAAAAAAGTTTAAACTAATTGATTGCATAACAATCGACTCAATTATTAGTTAATTATATTATACATGTTTTATAAGCGAATATAATATCAATGTTTATACGATATAATCGGATATAAATTATATCACATTAATGTAAAACGATCTTTAAGTTCATATATTTTATAACAACTTATTTCCGATAATTAAAAATTAATGAACAAAAAACAAATATCTTTTTTCTGATGTGAAAAACTCAATGAAAATTTATTGAACTATTTATTTGGGACTAAATCTCAAAACCAATGAAAAATATCAAATGATAAACAGAAAAAAGTCACACAAAAAGTGCATTAAATAAATATACATATATTTCTCTCATTGAAGACATTGAAAAACACTTTATATAATGAACTGATTATATGATAGTCTATATATCGTTAGAGCGATGAAACACAAAAAACAAGAGATGGGGAAAAAAGTTAAGCAAAAATAATAATATGAGATAATAATAGCATTAGTTGTGTGTGTGTGTGTGTGTGTGTGTGT